CCTTAAAATCCAAATCTTCTTCTTGAGTCTTTGTCAGTCCACTTTCAGCTTTTACAGGCTCCATTTTTCCTTCCACCCTAGCCTCTGCAATACCTTATAAAGCAAATGATATGTTCTGACAAAATCCTTGTAGTTTTTCCAAAAAATCTTCAGATTTCTCTCTAATTTGTTTCAAAACTTTTTATAAATCTTCAAATGAGACCATCGATAGAATTAAAGAAAAATTAACTTCAAAGTTAAACTGTTAAAAATCCTTAAACAAAGCGGAAGTTCCCTCAAGTAAAGCCATTTTTCAAACTTCTTTAAGCACAGCTTCAGAAACAAAAGGGGGGAGAAATCCAAAATCAAATCCAAAGTTCTTTCATTAAAAAAAGAAAAAGAAAAAGAAGTCACTAAAACTTTCCATATCAATGTTACAAGGGGTAACAATTTCCCTCTTCATTCAATTCCACCGGAAAGAAAAAAGAAAATCACTCTCACTTTGAAGAAAGGCAAACAGCAGCCATCTTTTTTCTCTTTTTTTTCTTCCCCCCCCCCCCAGTTCAATAGGGAAGATGTAAATAAATTGAGTTAGAGTCTTAGATTGATCAAAGTCCAGTATCCCCGGGCAATTCCATCCACTTATTATTACTCACAAGTCTCTATAATTCGCGGAGGTGGAGGCAACAACTCGCTTCGCTCCGAAAAAAAAGGGAGCAAAGGCATTTGGGAGACGGAGGTTCCCGGACTCCGGAGGAGCACCCAATTTTCACTCTCCCTGAGTTAAGGGAGAGCTTTTGGGGCTCTACTCCTATCCGGGAGTACTCACCTCGACCCCTTCGCCCGGAGCACAAGGTTCCAAGCCGCTGAACAGCTGATGTCCGCTGTTCAGGCTGGCTCTGACACCTTCCCAAGCGGACGGCTCCAAAAGAGCCGCCATCGGTGCGCCGTCCCACCGGAAGTCTCCCCAAATATCTATGCTTGTATATGTGTATTGCTGCTTGAATCTTTATTTTTTTTTTTAAAAAAAGGAAGAAGAGCTGAGACCAAAAGCAATTTACAGCAACATTTAAGTTTTGACAAATGTGGAAAGAGTTTGCTTGATTTAGTTCAATGATTAAAAAAAAATCTAATATGCAGAAATAAAGACAATTCCATTAATAACAATAACAATACCAATTAGAAGAAAAAAACCTGGATCATAATTTGGGAGTCTTCTACCATTGGAACAAAGATAACATATCTTTTTATTAATCATCATCATTTATCTACCTCCAGACCCCACTTCTAGTTTCAGGATTTTTTTTATAGCTCTTATGCAGTTTTGAGGTTAATCAAAACGGACATCAATATGCTTCTACCCAGAAGCTTTAAAGAAATCGATTTCCACTATTGCATATCTTTCACTATTTGCTCTGCTTCAATTAATTTTCTCCTACTTTTATTTCTAGCAAAAGCAGAGCCTGCTAATAGCTTTTCTTAGTTGAAAAACATGATTCATCACAATCATCATCCTCAACTTCTTCCTCCTCTGGATTCTGACTTCTTTATAGAAATCAAACAGTTAAACATAAAATAAAATAAAATCTCTCATCACCTATCTCTGAGGGAGATGGGCAGTTAAGAAATATGAAACAAGTCCTAGAGAATGTTCAGCTAGGTTTAATGGATCTGAAATTAAAATTGATTCATCCAAATGCATTAATTTATTACATTTCCCTAATCCTCTAAATAATGTTTTAAAGATGAACATCATATTTCTTTTGTTAGAGATACAAAAATAAAAAATAAAAAATGAGAGTTCACTGAAAGGTTCTCAGGTTACGAACTGCTTACAGTTTAATTTAGAAAACAGCCATTTTCAAAGCACAATATTATGATGCAACTCATAAAACACTTCAGGGAATAGACTTGATTCCTGCTGCTTTTTCAAATATAAAATATATAAAAACAAACCAGAGGTACATAAACATCTCATTTTCTAAAAGTGTTGACTGCAGACCAAGGTAAGCAATTTTATAAATGACAGCCAGGACAGATTTAAAGTTTTAGATTTTTCTAACAAGGAAAGGAGGGAATTGTATGGCAGAAGACCAGTAATAATGTAGCAGTTTGAAAACATAGAGAATATATTTAAACACAAGTCCTTCTTTTACAAGTCTGCAAATTATTTTTGCTAAATTAATTTTTCATTGAAAATGTAATAGCGGTTTAGTTTAAAAAAGAAATTTAGATGTGTGCAACAACTCAGGAGCATAGAAAATACACTGGTGTGAAAGAATGTACACCTTAGAGTTTGTTAAGTTTTACACACACACACACACACACACACACACACACACACACACACACACACACACAAAATGTATTCCTAGTTAGACTTTCTTTTATGGTTGACTGGAGGGATGAGAAGATGGATGCAATATAGATGAACAGAGTGATGCATAAATCACTCAAATTTAAGAGCAACAGTCAGAGCTTTTTAGTTCATAAGAATTAATCATTTGAAAATCATTTCATAAAAAAGGGATTTTTAAAAAAGGGAGAGCGATAACCCAGGAGTGTATGATGCTGAAGATGAAGTTAGGGTTTGATGTAACTGTGGAAGAACACCTGGAAAAGGAAAATAATTAAATGTAAACATACTACAACCTTTAATCATGTAGAATGAGTAACAAATTATTTGTTACAAGACAATATGTATAATTAATATTTGCATGAAGATATTAATGCAAACTATCAATTAATTGATAATATTGTTATGCTGTAATAACTATTTTTAACCCATTCTTTACAGATATACTGAAATAAGTGTAATGGGCAACAAATCAATTATGACAGATTTCCTCCTAATGGGGTTTTCAGATGACCATGATATGCAACTTTTCTATTTTTTGATGTTTCTCTTTGTTTATTTAACAGCAGTAGTGGGGAATTTTTTCATCATCTCAGCTGTGGTCCTCAATCAGCATCTTCACACACCCATGTATTTCTTTCTGGTCAATCTATCATTTGTAGATATTTGCTACATCTCTACTACAGTTCCCAAAACAATAGTCGTTTCAGTTACAAACAACAAAATGATTCCTTATGCTGGATGTGTTACACAGGTCTTTTTAGTTATTACATTTGTTGGGGCAGAGATTTTCTTGCTTACTATCATGGCTTATGACCGGTATGTTGCCATCTGCCGTCCTTTGCAATACAGATTGATTATGAACTGGAATGCCTGTATCCAAATGGCAGTTATTGCATGGATATCCACCCTGGTCCATGCAGTGTTAGAAACCAGTTTGACTTTTCAGGTGAACTTTTGTGGATTCAATGAGATTGGGCAGTTTTTCTGTAATATGCCTCAGTTACAAAAGATAGCTTGTACTGATTCAAAAGTTCATAAAATTCTAATTTTTCTGATTGGAGTCAGTGTGAATTCATTTTGCTTTTCATTCATCTTGACATCTTATTGCTATATTTTTTCTTCTGTGTTGAAAATTCCATCAGTTCAAGGAAGACACAAAGCTTTTTCAACTTGCATTCCCCACCTCACTGTTTTTGCCTTGTTTATTATCACAGCTGTTTTCTCATTCCTGAGACCAAAGTCACTTTCCTCTCCCAATGTGGACTTAATTTCTGGAATTTTATATACAATTTTGCCACCTGTTTTTAATCCCATAATTTATAGTTTGAGGAATAAGGATATTCAAAGAACTGTGTGGAAAATATCGCAGAAATTAAAAGAATTTATGGATTGAATGTGAACATTCTTATAATGATATAAAAGAAACCCCTAATTATGTAGCTGAGTGGGGATTGTAGAAGATTTGTAGGGGAAACTGGTCCAAAAGATGGCCCATGGTAAATTCAATGATGTTCTTGTTACTAATATTTGACTTTACATAAATAAATGAATGCTGCACTGCTTTCTTTCCATTTGCAGTGTCTTTTCTTTATAAATGATGAAGTATAGTTAAATAAATAAATAAATAAATAAATAAATAAATAAATAAATAAATAAATAAATAAATAAATAAATAAATAAATAAATAAATGTTTTGCAATGGGTGGACAGCACATAGTAAGTGCCACAGTCATTCTATTTCTATTTGCAAGTATTTGTATTTTGTTATCTTCTGTCTCTTCTATTCTGCTGTCTCCAAGTACTGCCTCATCCACTATCCAGATTTTTTTGTCTTTCTTATCAACAAGTATAATTATAATTTATTATTTCCATCACCATCTTCTTCATTATGTTGATTTGCAATAGACACCTTTGAGATTTCTTTGAGTTGAAGTGGATTGGATTCTTTGTTGGGAAAGCTGTGATAGAGGCTTGTAGCATAAAGCTGATGAATAGAACTTCAAAGAAAAAATATCTTACTAATATTTGCTAGCAATAGTACTAGGGAAATCCCAATGAGGGAGAAGCAATTATCTTAATAAGGATAATCAGTGTTCAGAAGTTAAATCAATAAGTAAGCATCTCTGGGTATGTATTCACAGATCCACAATACATTACCATGTGGGTGATAGATGAAAAGAATAGGTTGTATTGTAGGCATCATGTTTCTATTACATAGCAAAGCTAAAGAAATCAATAGGAAGGAGACAATACTCCTTCCAAAGTCTGTTGGCATTATCAGCTACATTTGATAGAGGAGCATAAGACAGGCTATACCCATACAAATATTTTGCTATCCAGATGTTTAGGCCATTGCTATTTCTGTCCATATTGTCTCCATTGGCATGCAAATTAAATACCAGAAAGTGTCTAATAAGTAAACCCATCCATATTCCACATGAGTGGTATCAACCAGGTAACTTTCTCATTGGTGGAATTGGTTCTCAATTAATTTATATTTCATCTCCAGAGATTTCCTATAAGAAACATCCTTCTCTTGATGAGATTGCCATTCAGATGTAAGTAAATAATGACAAACATAGAATGTCTGTCTCTGTCTCTGTCTCTGTTTCTCTCCCCCCTCCATATATATACATACATACATGACTCTGTTTCTTTGTGAAATTTTTACCTTTTTTTCTTTTCAAAGTATGCTGAAATTCTTCTTTGATAATAAAAGGAATGTCATGATATGTTTAAGTGTACATGATGTGGAAATAGATTTGTATAAGAGTATGACATCTGATGAATTAAATAAAGAATGGCTTAAAATTGAGTCTTCAGGTATCATGCTTCCAACTTAAACAATAAGAACATAACAATGATCTTTATAGAAACTTTCTGTAGATTATTTATCAGACATATATTCCAGCTGTCTCCAATGAGTTTCCCTGCAGCTCAACCCCTTTTCTTGAGGAGTATCCCTAATACTCCTTCTTTTCTTACAAAAATAATATGATGAAGGAAGTTTACATTTTATATCTTAGAGGCAAGTTCAGGCTTGAATGAGAAGTTTTGTTCAAATTAATTTTTTTTAGGTAGGAATAGTAGGATATCTATATCTATATATATATTGGAATTAATTATCAGAATATTATTTGTGTGTGTGTGTGTGTGTGTGTGTGTGTGTGTGTGTGTTTAGCCACTTTTTGGAGAAAACAAAAGTAAGTAAAAATAACAAACATTAACTTCCCTATGTGGATGCAGACTTGCAAAATGACACAGTATCACTGTAAGGGGCTAGTCAGACCAATATTTAGACTATATAAGGCAGAATCTTGTATAGATGCACAATTCTTAAATTACTTTTTCCACTGTTTATTACAAGTTCGTATCTCCTAGGCTTTGTTCTGCTCAGTGTATATTTGATTAGTTGGGGTTTTTTTTTTTGCCTTTACCCTATAATTCTTCTTTTCCTTAAATATTTCTTCCCTCCTTCCTTGTAACAATGGTAATATATGATGCTTTAAAATTAATTTGCTTCACTTAAAGATGGCATAGATGTAGTGCATGGATTGTAAGGGCTTTTTTCCTATGCAACTGAATATTAACACTTTACTTGCAGTGTTGTACCAAAGTTATATCAACACATCCTTGCCTTGGCATTTGCTGTTAAGGAGATCAATGAGAACCCAAAGCTCTTGCCAAATGTCACACTTGGGTTTCACATCTATGACAGCTATTACAATATGAGGTTGACCTATAGGACCACTCTCGACCTCCTTTTCAAATTAAACAGATTTTTCCCAAACTACAAATGTGATGGCCAGAAAGAACTAGTAGCTGTCATTGGGAGTCTTGGTGCTGATGCTTCTTTCCATATATCAAAGATAACAGGTCTCTATAAAATTCCACAGGTAGGAATCTTTATATAAAAATACAAATCAAATTGTTTGTTACTGTGGTTTGCATGGCCATAATTTGCAAGGGTCAACTTGATTAAGGAATACATTGCAGGGATTAATGACTTCAGATGAGGGAAGACAAGACAAAAATGGATCTGATATTTTCAATCATTATTTCTCAGAGATTATGTGAATTGTGCTGTTAAACTAGGCTCAGATTTATCCAACTAATGTCGCATTGGGATTTATTTTTTATCTTCATCTGAAATGCTTTGTGCTAATGTGACATTGTTTTTTTTTTCTTTTTACTAACTTTTGGGGGGAAAAGTGAGTCAAAAATATTAAATGTCCTTAGTTTAACATTAAACTAGAAGAATAATGGTTTTTAGTTTTTCTCTGAATTTGCAAAGTTATGTTTTGCAAACTGACACAAAAGAAATTCAACACATGTTCCTTTTTACTCATATCTAAAATAAATTTACTTTTTTATATAGTTTACTTATGGGTCTATTGCCACAAGGAATAGTGATACAATGGAGCCACCATCATTTTATTGCATGGTACCCAATGAAGTTCACCAGTATCTCGGAATTATTCAATTATTACAATATTTTGGATGGACCTGGATTGGTATGTTTGCTGTGGATGATGATAGTGGTGAATATTTCTTACACATGATAGAACAATTATTTTACCAGAACAGTATATGCTCAGCCTTCACAAAGAGAATCCCCAAACAAGCCTCTTGGCATACCGAAGACCAAATGAACAATATGGTCTCAAATATTTACCAGCTCTTAAAACATAGCACAGCCAGTACATATATTGTCTATGGTGAAACCATGATAATGTCATGGTTGGTTCTCATAATAAATGTTTTGCATGAAGAAAATATATCATTAAGAAAAGTGTGGATTATGACATCTCAAATTGATTTTGCATTATCAAGCCTCCACAGCGAAACAGTTCTGCAAGTGTTCCAAACTGTCATTTCTTTATCAATACACTCACAAGAGCTCCAAAACTTTAAGGAATTTCTTCAGAACATAAAGCCTTGTAAGATGCGGGAAAGTGCTCTGTTCAAGGAATTTTGTGAGCAAGCCTTCAACTGTGAGTTTTCAAAAGCTCAGGAGCCAATGGAATTGACTGGAATGTGTACTGGGGAGGAGAGGCTGCAGGATCTTCCTGGGTCTCTATTTGAATTGTTTGTGTCTGGACACAGCTACAGTATCTACAATGCTGTCTATGCTGTAGTAAATACCTTAAATATAATGTATGCATCTAAAACCAACCATAAAATAATAATGGAGAGTAGAGGATATCAGGATCTTTGGCCTTGGCAGGTAATAACTACAGGATAAATAACTTCATGTCCATGAACATGTCAATATACTGTAGAATAATATCAAATTGTCTCTTACAGAATGCAGAACCATTGATATAATTCTCCACACCATATTCATACATTGAAAGAAATCTTTTAAAATTGGTGTGTAAAATTGAAGCACCCCCACAATTCAATTCAGTTTTGATTTGAAGAAACATAAAAAGTTATATAAATCTGTTTGCAAAAAAATGTTTGTAAAAGTTGTTTCTATAATAAATAATTTACATTTTACTAAAACAAAATTAAAATGTGAATAAAATTATTCAGTGTTCTCAGATCACTGCAGTTGTATTTAAAATTCACATCTGCTGCTACTGCTGCTTTGAAGTGAAATTGGGGGGTAATTGTGTGAAAAATACAGCCAGTTTGCTATAGTGGCTGCAATACCAGTCTAAAAAGTAGGAGGCTATGAGTTCTAGTCCTGATTTAGGTACAAAGCCAGCTGGGTTAACTTGGGCCAGTCACTTTATATCAGTGCTAGGAAGGAGACAATGGCAAACAATTGAAATCTGGCCAAGAAAACTGCAGGGACCAGGAGTAAACATTGACTCAGAGGCACAAAGAAATGAGGAAATTTAGACCATTTGTTTTAAAATATAAGTTTATATTTTATACATAAATATAAAAAAATATAATTTTAAATATAGTTTTAAACACTTATTCCTTTAAATGCAGTTTTGATCTCTGAAGAGTATCAGAGTTTTGCAAAATGTATAATTAATGTCACTTATTTACAACTGCTAGGACTGCTAGGACTGCTAGGAATTTTAGTTCAACAAATCTATGTGGTGAAAAATTCTCTATCTTTAATGTTCATTAGATCTTCAGCTTACAAATATACAGAGAAATGTGTCTTATTGATAAAGATAAAAATAAGTTATTTATTTATTTCATTTTCTTTTTTACCTTTTTGCAACTAGCTTTACCAATTACTTGATCAGATTGTATTTAACAACTCTGTTGGAGAAACAGTTTCCTTTAATATAAATAGAGAAATCAGAGCTGGATTTGACATCACCAATTTGGTAATATTCCCAAATAATTCACTGCATAGAGTGAAAATTGGAAAGGTCCAACACAATGTCCTAGCAGAAGAAGAATTTGTTATTAATGAAACCTTGATTGTGTGGCATAGAAATATTAACCAGGTGCGGTCTTTTAATATCTTTTGGGAGTATTTTATTCAGTAGATGAATATTAGAAACTGCAAAAATCTGATCTTATCACAAACAAACAAATTTGATAATATATTTAAAGTTTCACATTACATTCAGATTTTTTTTTAAAAAAAAGAGTTTAAAAAGCTAATCGTTTTACAAAAGATATAAACATTTCATCATTGCTATGTCAAAGAAATGACATTTATGGAATTTTAGACAATGATTTTGGGGTCTCAATAAATTTGTTTGCTATAATAGCCATGCCTAGTACTCTTGTATAAAGCAATGGTCTGAATAAATAACATTTGTGGCACACTCTGAAGTTATCCATAATCAATAATAGATTGTGCAAATTCCAATATAACAATTTGAATTTGCATGATCTATTATTAATTATCATTTTATTACTTATTAATTTTAAATTAATGTTAATTTAAAAATATAATATTTTAGATTTTAATATTTCATATGAATAGTTCAGCTGTTAATTACTTTTTATTTTTAATATCTTCTGCTCTCATTTTCCCCAACTTGTGCTTATTAATAGACAAAGCCAACATCATTTTGCAGTCACTCCTGCAATCCTGGTTATCAGAAACAAAAGAAGGAAGGAAATAAATTTTGCTGTTATGACTGCATTCCATGTCCTGAGGGGATGGTTGCAAACCAAAATGGTTGGTGATATAGCATGTGGACGTTCATGCATGTACATATCTATCAGTCAGTCTGTCTTTCTATGTGTCTGTGTGTCTGTTTATCTGTCTGTCTGTCTATCGTCTATCGTCTATCGTCTATCGTCTATCATCTATCACTATTATCTATCTATCTATCTATCTATCTATCTATCTATCTATCTATCTATCTATCTATCTATCTATCTATCTATCTATCTATCTATCTATCTATCTATCCATCCATCTATCCTATCCTATCTATCTATCTATCTATCTATCTATCTATCTATCTATCTATCTATCTATCTATCTATCTATCTATCTATGTATTATCTGTCCATCTATCTCTATGTATCATTTCTTTCATATAATAGGCCACAAAAATCAACTGAACAACAATTATTATCTAGAATTATATACTGTTTCATAGTAGTTTACAACAATTTCTAAGCAGTTTACAGAATCAGCATATTGCCCCCAACAATCTGGATCTCACCTTTGAAGGCTGGAAAGCTAAATTAATCTCAAGCCCATCAGGATCGAACTCCAGACTGTGGGCATTGTTAGCTTGCAATATTGCATTCTTTTTTCCCCCCACTTTTTTATTTATATTTGGTACATCTTTCAAACATAGAATGCATTAACATACATACGTTTCAATTCTAACATTACACATTTTAGTTATATAACTATTAATGCATACTTATAATACCATCCCAACTCTCCCCCCACCCCATTATCCCCTCCCCCTCCCTTTCCCCCCCTTCCCCTCCCTCACTTCCCAGAACTGAACACAGGGTTACCAAGCCATTATAATATCCACAACTTATCTACCATACTCTCTAATTTTAAAATATCAACATCCTAATTTCTTTAACCCCCTTCATAACATTCATTCTACTAACATAAGAAAAATTTTTATTCATAACCTACATGATAATTTTTTATCTCATATCTCTTCTGTATATAAACTATCCATCTTTCCCATATTTTAATATATCTTTCCTGATATTGATCTTTCAAATATGCGGAGATTTTTGCCATCTCCGCCAGGTTNTCTTGCTGCAGTAATAAGATTTAACATCAAAGTCACTTCTTGAGTATTTAAATCTTCAGTTATCCCTAACAAAAATAGCTGCGGTGTGAATTTTATTTTCTTTTTAAAAATATTTTGGGTAATCCACCATATTTTGATCCAAAATGCCTTTATTTCTCTACATGACCACCAAATATGAAAATATGATGCTTCTAGACTTTCACATCTCCAACATTTGGGCTGTAAGTTAGGATACATATATGATAACTTTTGTTGGTCTAAATGCCACCTGTAAAACATTTTGTAAAAATTTTCCCGTAAATTTTGTGCCTGTGTAAATTTAACATTCCTGATCCAATTTTTTTTCCAAGTCTCCAACATTATAGTTTCTTCGATGTTTTGGGCCCATTTAATCATGCAATCCTTTACCAATTCTGTTTCAGAATCCCATTCAATTAAAACATTATATATTCTTTTTATATGAGCCCTTGATTGATCTTTAATTTGCTTAATTAAATTGATATCTTCAGGTGTTATACCCATCTTTCTGTCCATCTGCCATCTTGCCTTTAACTGATTATATTGGAACCAGGAATTTACTAATTGTTCCTCCAATAGTTCTTCTATTGGTTTAAGCTCCCAATTCTGACCAACCCATATCAATAAATCTTTATAAGTTATTGTATCTAACTTTACTCCTCTAGTGACCCCTTCTATTGTTTGTTCAGGAACAGCCCAAAGTGGAATTTTATAACTCAATCTGTTATAATATTTCCTCCAAACTCTTAACAACGCATACCTTAAAATATGGGCTTTAAATGCCTTATCCATCTTTTTATTATAAAGAAGGTATGCGGCACATCCATATAACAAATCCCATTCTTCTAAACTAAGCATCCTCTTATTAGTTACATTCACCCAATCACTAATTGCTGTAAATACCACCGCATCATAATACAATTTCAAGTTTGGGGCTTTCAGCCCTCCTCTTTCCCGTGCGTCCTGGATAATCTTGAACTTCACTCTTGGCTTTTTTCCTGACCATATAAACCTATTAATACCCTTTTGCCATTCATCTAATCCAGCATCCTTCTTCAAAACCGGTATCATTTGAAACAGAAATAAAAACTTGGGAAGTACATTCATTTTAATAACTGAAATCCTACCTAACATTGATAATTGCAATTTTTTCCAGT